TATAACATTATAATTTGTACCTAAAGTATTGCCTTATTTTGTTCAACTTAGAAAATAGGTCAAGTAAACTTACATGGAGAGCGGTAAAAGTAATATTGATTTAGAAAAATGTTTAGTAAAAACATTCCGAATGATAGGAGGAAATTTGCCATTTGCCATAGACAACAAGAAGCTAGCATAATCAGGTCCTCCTAATTGATCGATTAATATAAGAAGCGAAAAATAGATCCGATGAATATAAAAACAGAGATTCAAAAATTTAAATAAACCCGCCATTTCAGCATCAAACAGAAAACATTCCGATGATGGCTCTGTTCCCATCTCCTCTCGAGCGCACCGTCGCTTCAGCTCTCCTCCTCCTCTCCACCACACCACCTTCGCCTCCTCTCAAGTAAATATCCAATCTCGTTTGGTCTCTCGTTAGCTATTTCTGATCATGATTTCGCTCGTTTCTGCAGGTTGAATTCCGGTGGTGAGACTTCGCGGACAGAGGAAAAGGACCGGAAGAGCAGCGAAGCGAGCTTGAGCTTGGCGTCCATTGGATCGAAATCGTGCTCGTCGTATCTCACCTGCGATGTCTCGTCTCGGGAGGTTCGAGCTCAAGAGCTCGGGATCGTCGCCGTTGCAGTTGGCTGCCATGACATTATGAAACTCAAGGTTCTGGCGTTATTTCTCTTTATTTCCGCTAGTTGCTGCTCGTTGATTAATTTCTTGCTAATTCAGTACAGTTTTGGTGAATTGTTAGCGATTGTTATCTATCTGAGCCTAAATCTGCCGAGATATGATTCGTTTCGGTCTAGTTTGTTTGGTGATTATTCCTCTGTTTACGAGTCTGCTTTCAATTTTTCGAAATAATCTGTTTGGATCTGTAATTAGTTCCGTTTTCATTCTGCAGTGATTTGAATCACATGCTCTTCTTCGGTTTCGTGATTGCATATTGATTTGTTTATAGTTCAAATCTCAGTTTTCAATTTGAGAGAAACTTCTTCACATTTTTGGTGTTCGGATGAATCTCGCCTGTATTTTGCATCAATTAGATCGAAGTGTTACATTACAGCATTCAATCAACCCTCGAAGAGATGCGCTCTTCGTTTGAATTGAAATTTCCATGGAAAACATCTGTGATTTTACTAGATTTTAGTGCTTTGGATTTTGAGTTACTACGTTATGAAATTGAGAAAGTTTGATTCAGATTCGAGCCAAACAGCAAGTATTTCTGTTTTTGCTCTGCTTCAAGCATGCATCCAATCAATCAAATATCTGCTCCATTTCTTTTGATTTCTACGTTTAATTGGATTTAGATCGGTTTATTTTTTCCAAATACTGGAATTACTGATTCAAATGGCCTTTATTTCTTCAGAATCAATCGATTGATTTTGCTCCCTGTTTTTGAGTTTAAATCCGGTGGAATTTCACAGGTGGTGAAAAAGAGTCGCTCGAAGGTCTCCTGGAGCTCTGATAACCAAAAGGCGACGTTCAACAAGCTAGAGGTGAAGCTATCGGAATCCTTGTCCACAGATGCATCGTGCCTATCGAGCAGTTCCAGCGCGATCTCAAGCGCGCGAAGCCGACACACTACCGGGGCCGAGAAAAAACCGGCAGAGAAATCTGAGAAGTCAAGGAAGAAGGGCGATGGCTCAACTCACCTCCGCCGCCGAGCCGAAGCGATTCTGAAATTACTCTCCGGCCGTGGCTTCTCTGAAGTGACAATTCGTCGCATTCTTGGTGACAGTCCTGACACAAGCAAAGCTCTCAGAATGTACTCTCTCTCTCTCACTCTCTCACTCACTCATATCTGGAACTAATGTTCTACGTGTCATATGACGTGGCAATTTAGGTACACGTCAGTATATGGTTTGATCATCGACCGCTGAGTTTTAAAGTGGATGAAAATAGAGGGTTTAGATGCATTCAATCGTATTGCTGATTAAATCGCCAAAAATATCATATGGCTGATGGGAGCCCAAACCCAAATCTGTTGGTTAAATTTAGGACGAAGAAACGTCCCAAAAACCCAATTCTGTTTGGTCATATTTGGGCCAAACAGATGAGTTTTTGATTGCATGCTATGGACCCACCTTTTCGAGCTCAATTACAATTTTTTTTTTTTCAGCGGTGATGGTAGGGTATTCAGTCTAAATCAATCCCGGTTGATGATGGCAATAAAATTTAAGAAAAATATTTGGCGTGTGCAGGCTGCTAAAGCAGGAAGAAGTCAAGAGATCAGGCACGGGAGGGCGTCATGACCGTTTTATTTACACGGTATTTATGCTCCTAATTTCTCTCAATTCTCTTTTGCGTATCTAACATTTTTTTCCTTTTGAATACATTTCCAGTCCCTAAATTTTTCTCTATATAAAATAGCTGATTTTCCCCCTGTAAAAATAAAATTGTAGTTAACTTAATATATCTAATAGTTTAAATTGTATAATTTAATATAATTCAAATTGTGTAACGCATTTTACAAAATAAAAAATAAAAAACATATATCTACAGAGAACCATATACTATTTAGAAGAAAATTTGATTAAGGGGTGTTGATCTATGTGCTTTTTGGTATAGAATCATAGTTCATATATTGATTGTTAATGGGTCATATTTCCTTTTTTGCAGAAAGCATGACAAACTAGATAGGCGATGATGTATAGAGTTTGTCATATCCCACTGGTTGATAAATTCTGGTGATCTAAGAAAATGGTATATATATAGTTAAAATAAGAAGAGCAACAGAAACATCAACAGGAGTGGTTTTAATGCCATAATCTGGTAATAATAGAATATAAAACTAGTGGTATTACTTGTTGTGCCTAACATATATACTATTTTCAAGCTGCAGTAAATGAAAGTGTTATATTCTATTCTATTTCACTTCATGGTATTTGTTCAGAGGTAAAAAGTCATTCCAAAATGTCTTCTTCAATTCATGTTAGTTCTTTATCTTTGTGCTTTAGAAATTTTGGTTACTTTAAGATTGATTGTCTGGTTCCATGACAAAATCAGTTCCAACCACCGTGGTGGTGGTTCGATTTTAATTTCGCCTTCAGAATAAAAGTCATAAGACTGACTTGTAATTTCAGGCAACTTTTTGGCGTTGTTTGGTTTTTTCTTCTCCAGAAGGCATATTCTGGGAAGCCAACAAAAAATTTTTAAGCCAGCTACAACCAATATTTTAGTTGATTATATTATTGTTATAAGCAATTACTATGGCATTTAAGCGATATATAGTCAGCGCTTTTTTTTAGATAACCAATAATATATATGCCTTAAAAGAAAATATTTCAAAGTTTTTATACAAAAAGAAAATCCGAAGTTTGATAACCGATTATATGGTATTATAATCATCTATCTCATATTTTACTCATTTTATAATTGATTACTTTCATTATCAAGTTTTGTGCTTGAAATATTCATTTCCTAAGCTAGGCCAGCTAAGAAACATTGTTAGCTTTCCCGGAAGATGAAACTAAACACTTCCGGCAATTGGTTGCGTAAAGAGTCAACAAATGAGAGCTGGTTTCTTGACCGTATGTGAACCCGAAATTCTATCTCTCGTGTTGGAATTCTAGCATTCTAGGTTTCTAGATTCCAAATTAAAGGCAATTGTGGCCGACAAACTCAAAGTCGTAGGTTTGGTAGGGCATAAATTAAGGTGGAAAATCAGCATGTTTTGGGTCAAAGTCACGCAGCACATGTGAGACGCGTAAGGCCAAAGCTGAGGCAATCATGTGTTGGGAGTGTTTGACTTGAGATGCCAGGAAGGAAGGAAGGAAACAGAGGTTCAACTGGAACGAGTCCTTTTGTTGACTGAAAAGGCAAGACAACAACCACACAACTTCAAAATTCCTAGTATAATATGTCATATTCCTCTTGCTAGTCCCTCTACTTTGATAATTTACACATTTGTTCTATAATTATGCTATTAGACTCCATTCACTTAGGAAATATGTTGTTTTTGGTACC